GGCAGGTGAGTATGGTGGGATGTGGTGACTTTGAGGGGCTTGAGGACACACAGGTGTAGTGAATATCCACGACTGGGCAAGAAAGAAGGTGGTCTTGAGCTAGAGACCTACAGTTTATGGTCTTCGGTGTTGGTTTCTGAGGCCCTTACCTGTGCTTTTGCCCTCTGCTCATTTTAATCCTGTTCCCTCCCTTTGCCAGCAAATGCCTTTTTCCCTTTAAAAGTTCACGGCAAGCACCATCTCCTCCAGGAAGCCTTCCCTGCCTCTCCTTCTAGTCTTTATGTCTCTTCAGAGTGGAGACCCAGTTGGGACATGTGGCTGTAAGCTAGAACACTGGGGACAAATGGTCAGCTCATTAGGACCAGAAAGGGTGCCTGCTTCCTTTAGTTGCGAGAGCCAGGGGGACTTTGGGCAGGGAACAGGCGAGGGGGGCCCGTCTTTTAAGCTTATGTAACCGGTGGGTTTTGGGGTAGCTCGGGCAGGCAAGCTGGGGGCTCAGTGGGCCTGAATCCTGGCTCTGTTGCTTAGCGATGCCCAACTTTCATTCTTATCCCAGCCTTCCCTCCAAGGAAGAGGAGTCAGTACTGCCTCCATCATCCCCTCTGCAGTCAGAGCCTGAGGTGTCCCTGCCCACCCTCCCCCGGGGGCCTCCACAGCCACCCTCCCCGCCTTCCTGTCCCCCGGAGATCCCCCCGAAGCCTGTGCACCTGTTCCCGGAGTTCGGTGAGTGCTGTAGTCAGGGGTAGGGCCTTGGGTGGGCGCCTGGGGTCCTCTCTGAGCGGCCCTGCCACCAACCCTCGGGCAGGTCACTTGGCCTCCCGAATATCACTCTGTGTCCTGGAATGGAGATGGCACCTGTCCGTCTGAACCACTGACCGTGAGGTGTGGGGCACGACAGGCCTTTGGAGTCACCCCCAGTTTAAAGTCTGGGGCATTTGTCATGGCCCTGGTGACTTACTTTCCTGGGGGTGTCCACTTTCTGTGAATCTTATTGCCCCTCCCCCCCTTTTTTTTAAGAATTATTTTGTTTAA